CTAATTTTATTCTACAAAATATAATCTAGAGTCAGATATCGACTTATTAACGAAAGCACAATTAATTACTTATGTAGGCTATTTTTGTGTCAATAAAAGAAAAATCTCATTAGGTAAGATTTGATGTTAAATGAGGGTATAGCCGATAAAAACCAACTTAACTGTGTTAATGTATCCAATTTAACAAATATTCATAGGCCGATAAACAAATAAAAACAAACCAACAAGTAAAACCTACTCTTAGCATCTACACTATATCAATTTAAAACAGAAAAATGGTTAAAACTATGATTTACGGGCCTAATTATGAACAGAAACAAAATACCGACTTATTAACTATTCGCTTCGTAAAATAATTTACACCGCTCTCATAAAGCGCAGCTGCTGGTTGAAAAATTTAAAAATTCAAATAAAATTGATGTCGCGTTGTTGCAGGAATCCTACAGCGTCAATAATAAAATCACATTATTTTCAAATCATTATAGAAGTTTTAGTAAAGGCAAAAATCTTATAAGACCAGCAATAATTATTATCAGGAATACTATTGCTATTTTACACACTCAGTCATCTAATGAAGACCGAGTTTTGGCCGAGTACATGTCTGCAGTGTATACATGTCATTTGACGGGCAAATTGGAATAGACAGACCTACCTAATCGGTTTGGAAAACATGTTGAGGCCATTTCAATTATCAATCTATCAATATATATATATATATATATTCGGCATGAACTCAAACGCTAGATCGATCACATGGTACATTAGATTGACCAATCGTAGTTACTCTACTCTGGAGGAATTTATTGCATCCAAATCGCTAGTTATATTGAATGAACCAAAAAATGCGACAACTTTTGACAACATCAGAGGTTCAATCAATATTGATTTAACTGTTTAACAATGAATTGTGCAATGGCAAATAATATACATGAAACACCCAAATTTAAATGCAATACTAAAACATCAGATTGGGAAAAGTTTAAACCTGAACAAAACAATAACTTGAGTGAATAAGCTTCAACAAATCCATTTGCGGTCAATATGGAAAAATTACACAATAAATTAGTAAGCCATATCCAAAGTACGGAAAATGTAGAAATTTTCATTGAAGAATTTGATGGAAAATTGATAACTACATGCTCAAAATATTTTATTGCGGTAAGAAAGAGGGGAAGAGACACCGGTAAAACTTTCAGCTGTTGTAACGAAGAGCTAAAGATCCTATGCAAAATGTTAAATGCGGCGAGAAGAAAATATCAGCAAACGCTTAATCACCAAGCGCTACGCCAGGAGAAAAAAAATAGTATTCAAATATATTAAATGATTTAAAATTGGAATCATGGAAAATCTTCTCAGGGATACCTGCAAATAATCTATGGAATTTTATATATAAAACTGCAGCCAGAAAACTAAAGCTCACTACATTTCAAAGGGGATAAAAGACAATTGCGAACATACGGCAAATTTTGAAGAAACAATGGAGATAATTTCTAATAAATTAGTGCAAAAAGACAATCCGACAAATGATTAAACGGTTCATAGGCTGTTAAGATTGAATATGGAGGAGGAAATTCAGAAAGGATGCGCCCCAAAAAAGCACCAGGATGAGATGGGTCCAGCGAGGTCCTCAAAAGTCTGGCTCACGCATATCCGGCGGCTACTACAGCGATATACGTAGAATGCTTATCAAGAGGAGTGTTCCCGTTGTGTTGGAAGAAGACAGAACTCACATTCTGAAAAAAGATGGGTAAAAAAATTTGATGGCCTCACTAAGGCTCTAAGCTTGCTTCCTGTGGCAGGAGAAGGGCTAGAAAAAATTAATGATCGGTAATATAATGCACAATCTATATTTAAACCATATTTTGTCAGATAATCAATTTAGATTTATACCGCAAAGATCTACTATAAGCGCGTTGAAGTATTTGGAAATGAAGTGGAAAGTCCTAATCATATCACTCGATGTGCAAGGGATATTTGATGTCGCCTGTGACATTTTTTAAGCATTGAGATAATACAAGTGTCCGAGAAACCTTTACAGACTAGCGAAAAGCTATTTTTCAGAAGGGCCTTGATTCTAGTTAACATTCTATAATAGCTTTCAAAAACTTGCATTACAAGGGTGTAGCATGACAGTGTTCGCTACGACATACTAATTATCGATTCTTGGGCTAAAAAGAATAAAATAAGATTTAATGAATCCAAATCGAAATTCACATATCCCGAAAGTCACAGATTGAACAAAAGTGAAGGTAGCATACCATAGGTTCGAACCCATCTGGTTTTCTATTTATCATCACAATACATTTAATTACTGAAAATATAAAATTCTGTAAACAAATATTATTTGTTGACGATTCACAAATTCTTAAATCTTGCAAAAACGATGAAATTGCTGAAACTATAAAAGCAAGAAACACAAAATACAAAGTACCTTCAAGAGCTCAAAGCTCTATATATAGCCTAAATAGCTTCATATATAGCTAAATGATTTACATATTATAAGAAATAAAAAATTTTGAAAATCAAAGAACGGAGGAGGTTGAAATTAAATATAACTACAATGAGTGTTTTAAAAACAAAATTATCCAACTTATTGTCTTTTCAAATGTGTACGACCGCAATAAGAGAGGCGTAAACTATAGCTTAAGGATACCAAAATATAAAATATCAGTATTCATCGACGAATTGCTATTATTGACTTGACCTAGCGTATGATTCAAGAATGGAAGATAAATATGTTGAGTTGAGAACATTACAGATAAATTACTTCCAAGCACACTTACATTAAACTATTTTCAATAGGGTATTAAAAACGACTCACCCCCTGTACGAAAAAACAAAAAAACTTAAGGAGCCATTAGATATTATTACATTTGAGAAGAAAAAGATTGTAATTCCAAAATGCAGAACAAAAAAATAAAAAACACTTTTCTTATAAAAACTTCTGAAGGGTTTAATAAATTACCGAAATAAATTAAACTACGGGAAAAAATTAATACATTCAAAGTAAACCTCAAAAGCAATTACATCAAATATTGTGATAAGTGGAATTCATGTACTTATTTTATTTACAATTAGTCTCGTTCATCACATTTTTACAGCATTCTCTTCATTTAATTTTAATTATAACATTTTCTCTCTCAACTATTATTTTGATATCATGGTTTTATTTATTATGTTTTAGTACACGTTCTGATTGTAAATTATAATAATGTTACTTACTACAGTCTAACGTAGGCTAATGGATAATTTTTATTGCTATATAAAGCAAATTATTTAATGTATTTTATATTTTAACATTTATATGTAAATTATAACCCACATTAGATGTAAGAGTGGCGCAAGAAACCTAATTCTGCGTGACTAAATAAAACGCTATCAATCAATCAATCTCAAGATGTAGATTTAGTTGGTACAGCATTTTCTTTGCTCTGTTACTAATTTTCAGGTCCATGAAAGGGTTTTACTAATCGTAGTATACATATAGTATGTACATAGTATATTTCATGCACAACCCACACATCGAGAGAGAGAGAGAGAGAGAGAGAGAGAGAGAGAGAGAGAGANAGAAAGGGAGAGAGGGAGAGAGAGAGAGAGAGAGGAAGAATGAAAGAGTGACAGAATACGAGAAAGGCTGAGGGCGGTCAAAAAGAGAGAGTACGACTTACAGAAAATAGGAGAAAAAATGTCAAAAAAATTAAAGAAAAGGAAAGAGAAAGAGAGAGAGGGGGAGAAAGAGGGGGAGAGGGAGGGGGAGGGAGGGAGAAAGAGAGAGAGAGAGGAAGAGAAAGAGAGAAGGCAGGTAAAATGAGTGACTCTGACTTACAGAAAATGGGAAAAACGACTGACAGCAAAAGAAAAGAAATGGAGAGGCAGAGTGAGAGTGAGAGAGAGAGGAGGAGAGAGGGAGGGAGAGAAAGAGAGAGAGAGTGAGAGAGAGGTGGGAGAGGAAGAGAAAGTGTGAAGACATGTAAAAAGAGTGACTATGACTTACAGAAAATAGGAAAAAGAGACTGACAGAAAAATGAGAGAAAGGGAGGGACAGAGAGAGTGAGTGTGAGAAAAAGAGAAAGAGAGAAGGCAGGTAAAAAGAGTGACTATAACTTACAAAAAATAAGAGAAAGAGACTGACAGCTAGATGAAAAGAAGGGAGGGAGGGAGGGAGGGAGAAATAGTGAGAGAGAGAGAGAGAGAGAGAGAGAGAGAGAGAGAGTAAGAGTGAGAGAGAGAGAGAGAGAGAGAGAGAGAGAGAGTAAGAGAGAGGGCGGGTAAAATGAATGACTATGACTTACAGAAAATGGGAAAAAGAGACTGACAGCAAGACGAAAGGAAGGGAGAGAGAGAGAGACAGAGTATGAGAGAGGAAGGGAAAGAGAGAAGGCAGGTAAAAAGAGTGACTATGACTTACAGAAAATAGGAGAAAGAGAAAGGAAAGAGGGCGGGTAAAATGAGTGAGTATGATTGAGAGAAAAGAGAAAAAGGAGAGAGTTAGAGGGTGAGAAAGGAAGTGAAAGAGAGAGGGCGGGTAAAAAGAGGGAGTATGATTGAGAGAAAATAGGACAAAGAAAATGACAGAAAAATTAAAGAAAAGAAGAGAGAGGGGGAAGGGAGGGATGGAGAAGGAAGATGAAAGAGAGTGAGAGAGAGAACAAAAGAATCAGAGGAAGTGGAAAAGAGAGGGCGGGTAAAAAGAGAAATGAGTATGACTGAGAGAAAATGGGAGAAAGAGAATGACAAAAAAAGAAAAAGTGAGAGGGGAGATGGGGTGAGAGAGGATGAAAGAGAGGAGAGAAAGAGTGTAGAAGAGGAAACGAAAAACAGATTGTAACAGATATAAATGGAAAGAATTTTGAATAGTTGAGGTTAGGATGTACATATCTTCTTTTGGAACGAATTATATGTCTAATCCGTTACATTTTGATTATACTATGACTGTATTCATCATCGATGTATATATGATCTTTAAAAAGTAAAATAAAACCACAATTAATATTTATTACCTTGTAATAATCAGTTAAATAACGGAAACGGGAAAGTCGAAGTTAACTTGTTACTCAACTGATCCGTCGGCTAGTTTCGCGCTCATATGTAACAAGTCACGTGATTATCGAAAGTTCTTTTAAACCACGAAACAACTTAAAACGGAATAAAAGTTTTCGTACAAATTTTTTAATTTGATATTCTTATTATTTGTATTTTATTTTCCGTTCGATTACGCCAGAGAAATCTGAAGAAGACGGGATATCGATTTCGCCGTTGACGAGAGGAGGCCGTGGCCCGTGGAACGAGGCCCTATCTCCTCACCATCGCCGGCCGCCATATTGAGTCGTCGCAAACGTTTCACTTACGCCGTTGTCGCGAGAGTGATTTTTTTCCCGGAGAACAAAAGGATTTCTCTCAGATTTTAGTTGGACCGGGTTTTTTTTTAATTAAGAGAGATAATGTCCGCCGTGAGGCATCGTCGCGGGGAAGACCAGGTAAAAATCAAGTTTCACCCTTTAAAAACAACTACCGAATCAACTCGGCCCGAAGCGCTATTATTAACCACGTTAACAATGATCTTTCCTCCGAATTACCGGCCCCCTTGAAAGAAAATTTTGATGTTTTATACTTTATTGATCCGATTTTGTAACTTTTGATTTTACTTGACGTGCTTTTCGATAAATAAGCTCTCAAGTTTTTTCGTTCTGTGAACTTCCGTCGCGGCACTTCATTGATTTTCCCGACGCGACTGCATTGAACTTGCCCAAACGCCGAGAAGCTTCTTTTTCTATATTCTACCCTAGATATAAATTTATGCTAATCATGTTTTCTCTTTCAGGCTATAATCGACATTTTAATTTGTTAACATCTATAAAAAAATAGTAAACATAGTTCTCTGTGCTAATTTCTTTTTCAGCAATCTACTGTATAAGTTTCAATAGATTTCATTGGTGTTTAGAACAGAAACATGCCCATTGAAGGTTTATTTTGAAACAAAAATATGATTATAGTCATAAATTCATGATTTAAACTTGATAACCTTTTCCAGTAATAAGAAAAACATGACACAATTTGTAACTTGAATGATGGAGGTTGACTTACATCAGTTTTCTAAATTAAGGCCTTGAGAACTAGTTGAAATGTCGACTATTATTGTTTTATTGCGTATGACAGTCTTTTGAACATACAATATGATTGCGCTGTCTCGATGATAGGTGTGATTAACGACACCATTATGTCTAATCTCGAGGCATAAATGGGCATCGTGTTATTTTCAGGTGTACTTCGTTGTTGATAATTATCGTTGGCAGTGGTCTTAAAAGGCCAACGATGAATTGTCAGCATAATCTTAAAGCATCAAGTCATTCCAGATTTTATTGTAAATGAATAGTTTAAACAGTTAAAAAGGTTCTGCAGTTAACATGCTTATTTAATGTGACATGTGTAAATTTTCATTGCTCTTTTGATTGTTCAATGTTCAACATTAGTTTTCCATCACAAAGGCAAAACTTAATAAACAAATTTGGGTTGTGTCTTCCAACTTTGTAGAAAATGGATCATTCCATCGATCGCTTTTGACGATAGATCTAATTATTGTGTTAATTCTAAGTTAGTATTTTATTTTTTCGATGCACTTCATTCATACATTGGATTTTCCAAAATAAAAAGGTTTTGAGAATCAGTTGAAACTTCGACTTTTATTATCATTTTATTGCATATGGCATTAGAGATTGTTCGTTTTGAATCGACAAAATCTCTTCACCGTCAATAGATGTGCCAGATCTCCACATAAATAGTGACCATATTATTTTCTGTTGTACTTTATTGTGCATAATTATGTTAGAAAGTTGTTTAGTTATAAAAGGTCAACAATGAAAGCGTAATCATAAATCATAATTTCTCTGCAAAGTGTTAGATGTATCGGCCACTTTTTATAACAACTAAAAATATGAGATATTTTTACCAAATCTGTACTTGTTAAATGACTGTTTTGGATGATTTTTACTGTCTTGATATCCTAGACATGTATATTCATTATGTCTCATTAATCATTAAGTTAAAAAAAATGTTCTTTGCACTATATGTTGACTGAATGTCACCAGTTTGATCAATCTTTCCTTTCCACTCTGTTCTTCTGCTGAATTTGAGTTCACTAGAGTTCTGTTCACTTGTCACTGCCAAGATTTTGGTCCTATTTTAAGGATAACATCAGGGCAAAACATTCTTAAAAATATGTACAATTTGAAATCATTTAAATTTTTAAAAAATGGTTTCAAAGTGTGAATGTCATTCTGTGTTGTGAATGATTACTCTCAATGATGAAAGGTTTCATTATCAGCAGTTAACTTTGTTGCATGTCGGTAAATACATATACCAGCACTGGGTCTGTCTACACTCAGAGATTTCTTAGCACAGAAGTTGCCGCTCAACCCAGTGCTGGCCCAACAGTTAACATGTTGGTATAACTAATTTTATTAATCTTTTCACCTCTCTTTCAATTTTTCTCCAATGAACGTTCAGTGTTAAATTTTTAGTCGAAATGTGAACATTTTTAATCCCGGACATAAATGGTCTCATTTCTGTCAGTTCGATTTTAGTTAGTTAATGACCAGGGATTTGTAAACATTAAAGAGGAACTGATACTTTAGACTTTAGAAGCTTTTAACATTATATTATTAATGACAGCACTTGTGCCCATGTATTGCTTATTCTCAGATCATTAGTATCCCTCGTACACTGATTTGCATAATGTACAATGTTACTTAAAAATAATAACAGTAATATTCCTATCATCAAATCTTCTACTGTGCAATTTTTGTTTGGCTACTGTTTAACTTTTAGAAATACCAAAACTCACCATCTACTCAACAGTCTACATTGTTGTTTTATTAAGCGTATATTATCAATTGATGATGACTATTTGTATGAATCTTGACAAAATTTTACATGCTAGATTTATTCAGTTTTCTCGGGGAGGGGAGTTGTGGAATAAATGGTGTTGCTTATTTTATTGAATTTGTTAAAATGTTACATTAGATAAGCACAAACTGAAGGAAAAAAATTCTAAAGCTTATTACCTTTTTTCCAATATTTAGTATGTCAATATTCCTTTAGCCAGTTTAGCTTGTAAATTTGTAATCAGTTGTGTGGATTTCATTACAACAAAAATAGTTTTCATTTTAGAAATTACAGCTTTTGTATATTCTTTTTTAGTACTGAATTGTGACATTACCAGTTTATAATTTATCAAATTATCTCATAGCACACTTGCCAATCAGACTGTATGATAAACTGTCAATTGTTCTGCCTGGTCATTAGTGTCTTCTAATTATTGTTTTTTCAGTTGTGCTGATTGTATCTGGTTAATATCTTCTTTACTATAATTAAAGTGTTAGCTTAAATATATTGGTATTTAACTAATAACTGTTTCATTTGGAAATTTTTTAAAATTATTATTTCCTTTCAGGATGGGAACTGTTTAATTTAGAGTTGTTATTATTATTTGCACTGTGAAGTTATTAAGCTAATTTAACGCCATCTTCATCATGACACGAAGAATATGCTACATATTTATTTATTTATTTTTTAACCATAAAGAATAATTTTTGATGTGTTACCACAGGAACTTATTCTTAGCAGTTTTGTGTGATTGCCACAAATAAATTGTATTGTGAATGCATTTCGAGTTGGCGAACGTTGCCTTCCGCTATGTCTTTTTGTGCTTTGTACTTTGGTTTGATTTTGTTATATGAATTTCAGATGGATTAGACGAATTCAGTCAGCTTTGTCAGCTATTCTCAAGATCTGACCTTGCTTATCAGACTGAGGTATTGTGCGAAAAATCAAATAATAAACAGATAAATTGTTTAACTTTCCCTGATAAAAAGTGAGAGAGAAGATAAAAAAATAGAAACAAATGTTTGTGTATTTAAGTGAACAACTAAACTAAAAACTACATATTATTAACATCTCTATTAGAAGTCAATAAATTAAAATCCTGTTTTATCATAGAAAGTTAAACATATATTTCCAGGAATATTTTATTCCTTTTTTTAAATTTCTTATACTACTTTTTCTTTTAAATTAGACTTTTTTAGTTTATAGTTCATATTTTAATAGAACTATACAATTTAAAAAATATTGTTTCTTGTTGAACTTTGATAAATTTGTGATTAAATCTGAATGTTTGTATAAACTTTGTGCGATTACCTGTTTGGCAAATTTATTTACAAGTTATTTAAACAGTTATTGTTATCAATTATTCAGTTTCATTCAATTTTACCAACTTTTAGATTAATGCAGGTATTTAATAAAAAATTCATTCAGTGGCCAGTGTTGTTTACTTCAATAGAAGAGAATGGCAAATTGAATTAAAAATCAGTTTTTCAGTGAATTGAAGAAGACAATGCTTTCAGATTTTCATAAATTTAGATTATAATTCTGTCAGTATTGTCAAAAGACAATATCACAACCAACCTACATATGCCGCCTCCGGTGAAAAAATAAAAAAATATGTTAAAAAAATTATTGGAAGACATTCGATTATTCGTTGGAGTAGTTTACGTTTTGATTGGACACTCAGTTTTGTGAATTTGTCGATAAATGGTTTGTTTGGTACACAATTTGTTTCAGAAGGGAACGTTGGTATTGGAAGAGTTTTTATCGCAATAGCTTTGTACAAACTTCAAAGAACAATCGCATCTCCAGTTTTGGGCAATTCTAGTCTCCTGTTGTAAAACGGTAAGGATCAACAAAGGACTTTTATTCGCGCCTTTTGTAAAAACAAAATATACATTTAATTCTTTTTGAAATTAAATTTCTTCATGAAAAGTGTCATGTGATGCACGATGCATTTAAATGTGCAATTTTGGTTTAAAAAAAATGTTCATCCATCTTAGCAATTGGAATTAATTTTTTCTGTATGAATGTGTAACTTGACATATTGAAGGGCATTAATCACTAAAGACAATAAAAAATATTTAAAAAAAAATTCCATTTCAATACTGCAACACCTGTACAATTAAACAATTTTATTATTTTAATTGGGGAGACTTATTATCAACCTAGGAAGAAAAATTCAACGTTTTGTGGGTAAAGTTTCTTTCTTTTTTTACCTTGGTACTAATTTATTTTTGAACGTTTCATTATTAAGATCAAATAGTGGGATGGACCGAAGGCAATTTGGCGAAAATTACTATGGGAGGCATTACCAAGGCAGCCCATTCTTCAATCCTGGTGGCCAGAAATCTGCTGAAGAAGAGTTGGTAGCCCGGAGCAAAGAATGGATGAACAGACAAGATAGAGACAGAGACCAGTGGAGGAGATCTGTCGATGATTTTCTAGATGATAAAAGTAGCAGTAGGTATCATAAGAGTAGGGACAGGTCTCGAGAAAGGTCTAGGTCCAGGGAAAGGGGGGAAAGAAAAGAGAGAAAACGTTCTCGTGAAAGGAGTAGGGAGCGGGAATCTTCGCGGCGATGGTCACCGGAAGATGATGAAAGAGATACAACAAATACAAGAAGACGGCATGAGAGGGGGGAGGTTGCCAGGAGGGGCAGTGATGATAGAAAGGATAGGCATGGGCAGGAGTGGTCCAAATATAGGGGGGAAGAAAAACCTGAATCTTCAAAGGAATCGTCATCTTCATCCAGGAGGCATTCGAAGGATGAAGATGAAGAGAAGAAGTGGTCAAGTGATGATGACATGAGTACAAGTGGATTTGAGCGAATGGAAGGGGATTTTGATAAACCGTACTCTGATTTTTCTTTAAGACCCGAGGATAGATTCGTATACAAAAAACAAGTTCCACAAAGGACAATAATTATTAGAGGACTTGCTCAACACATAACGGAACAAGATATACAAGATGATATTACACTTTCTCATTTGGTATGCAAAGATATTAGATTAGTTAGGAGGAAAGATACAGGAACATCAAGAGGTTTTGCTTTTGTTGAATTTAGTACAGTTGGCGATGCCATTAAGTGGATAGAATTAAAACAAGGGGAGCTCATGCTGAAAGATCACTTTCGAGCTCTTCTGCAATACAGTCTGCCAAAGGATTATTCTTTTGGTAGAGAGAAGTACATGTCTGATTGGTATTGTAAATGCCAAGCTCATAATTTTCGAAGAAGGAATACCTGCTTCAAGTGTAATTTGTCAAGAAGAGAAGTTGAAGTGGAATTTGTCGATACAATAAGTTCATATCCTACAAATACAGTCCTTCTAACAGGTTTAGATGTGTCAACAACAGAAGAGAGTGTGCTCCAATCTATTAAGACACTATCATCTCTTCCAATTAGAAGTGTACGGATTGGAAGAGATATTGCAACAAATACTTCAAGGGGTGTTTGCTACTTAGAAATGAACAGTGTCGTTGATGCCATGTACCTTCACAATGCTCTTCAAGCATCAACACCTTCAATAGATGGAAGAACTGCACTTGTATCATATGCAAAACTGGATCCTGTATCTATGAATTCATCTGCTGCTATTAGTGTACAAATAGCTAATGCAGCTGTAGCTGCAGCTCAGTGGAGTCACCAGAAGTCAGATAGTCAACAATATCAACTTAGTGATGTGCCTAGACTTGCGGAATACAGTGCTGCTCTTTATGCTACAACACCCCAAGAAAAGGCATCATATTTAGCTTACTATGAAGAATATTATAGGAAACAAATTACAGAAGGTGAAAACATATCACTCCCTGTAAACAGTTCAAGCGGTCTTGCCACAGCCCAAGCTGCAGTTGCAGCACACAAAAAGTCCAAAGATAGTAGTAGTAAGCTGTCACCATTAACAGAAGCACCAGATGGCTCTGGTGATAAGACTTATCCAGCTCCAGATGTCACATCTTACCAATATGACAAATCGTCAGGATATTATTACGATCCTCATACCACACTTTATTATGATGCAAATTCACAATACTACTATAATAATAAACTTGGTAAATTCCTCTATTGGGATGCCTCGAGGTGTACATACTTGCCTTCACCTACAGATAAGAGTCAGCCTCAAAACCAGTCAAATAATTCACCACAGGTTGATGCTGCAAACAAGGAAGAAGAGAAAAAGAATAAAGAAAAGGAGACTGAAAAAGACAAAGTTAAAGTAGCAAAGAGGATTGCAAAAGACATGGAAAGATGGGCAAAAACATTGAACCAAAAGAAAGAGAATGCAAAGCAGAACATTGTTCAAGCTCAGGCTGCCATAACTAGCATGAAAGCAGCAGGTGCTGCAGACATAGGTTATGCAGTACTTGAGAGAAAAGATTTGGCATTGCCCACACAGAATGGGGCAGACCGTAGTTCCAAAAATGAAAGCTTAGTTGCAGCATACGGGCAAGGGAGTGACAGTGAAGAAGAGGCAGCAGAAGAATCAGCAAATGAAGAGAAAATGCATACAGATTGGATCAAGTTGGCTTGTTTGCTGTGCAAAAGGCAGTTTGCCAGCAAAGATGCTCTTGTCAAACATCAGCAGTTATCGGACCTACACAAGCAAAATCTTTCAGCTTGGTACAAGTCGAAGGGGTTGGACCCACATGATGCCCAGACAAGAAATACACAATATCGAGACAGGGCAAGAGAGCGAAGGATGAAATACGGTGAGCCGGATACACCACAGCCAAGCAAGCTGAAAGAGACTTACATGAAATCTAGGGAGGCAACAATCAACTATGAAGAGCCCACAAGAGCGGGCATAGGGGCGGACAACTTAGGTAATAAACTTTTACAAAAAATGGGGTGGCAAGAGGGCATGGGTTTAGGTAAATCAAATCAGGGAAGGACATGTATTATTCAAGCAGAAAGGCGATCTGCATGCGCTGGCCTTGGAACCAAAAGTGTCGGGGTTACTCCGGGTCCTGGGGAAACGTATAAAGATTGTGTCAAAAAAATGATGCAAATTAGATATTCGGAAATCGATGACCCATCGTAGAAGTTTTTATTTAATAGGAAAAATTTTTATTTAAAAACAATTCTTGGTTTTTATTATTTGATTAAATTTCTTATACAATTGTTTTTTTCCTTTTATATATATAAATATATAATTTCTTTTGTTTAGTTATTACATTAAATAGGGATAAATTGTATATACATTTTTTTTTAATTTGTGGATTCCCTGTGATTATGTAAAATAAAAAGAAGAAAACAAACATTTTTTACCTCTAAATGTAAATTTGTTTATGATTTTTTTTTTTTTGTATATATTTGTTAGTGGTTAAAACTAATAAATTTAATGTGAAAAAAATATAGAAAGTGGTCCAATCTGTTGTCTTTATTCTTCCTGTCCCTTAATAACAATTATTAAGTTTATAATAAATTTAAAACAGAACTTAAGTAATTTATTTTGTAGTGTTCATATTGAGTAGAATTCAAAAGAGTACAGCATAGTGATGACAAAAGAGAATTAATTCTGGAAAGGATATGTTATTCGAATAATTTCTCACAATCAAATGAATGCCAAGGAATAAAGCAGTTTTAAGAAATGTTTAATTAATTAATTGGATTCTAGATTAAAATAGAACATCAATAAATAATGGTAAATATCTTTTGATATCAAGGTAATTTTTATATTTTTATGCTTTACAAGTTTTAATCAGGTTAAAATGAATGGAAAATTGTTTATAGAAAAAATGTCAAAATTAATTGACTGTAATAAGTAATAAAAACGGAAGAGGTATTTACTTATATAAATTTGTCTTTTCAAGGTTATATACGTTTATTATTTTTATGATGGCCTTTATTATGTTTTAGCTGGTACTTATGAAAGTAAAAAAGAATTGGAAAAACGTGTTTATATGGTATACATATATATATTGAAAGGAAAGAAAAACCATCATTCAGGATAATATAAGGTACAGACAAAGTTTAATTTGCGATAATATCATCATTGAGCAAAATTGATTTACCTATTTTAGGTAATATAATATAATAATATTAGGCGTTATAATAGCGTTTTTTTAAGATAAATTATAGGCATGCAGGAAAGGTAAGTCGTATTAAGGCCAAAATGTTATTACATTTAAATGAATTCTTTGTCATATGTGAGAATAAAAATGAGAACTGGATTACCTCTGATCATAGCACACTTAAAGCGCTAGTTTGATAGCCTAAGAGGCGTACCATTCACTTATAGTTATTATTATTTGAATTTTGTATGCATATATGTACCATTTGCTCAATGTGGTTGTTAAGTAGGTACTCTACTCACCCAGTATGCATTATCAATCTAATACAGAGTGTACTCAATCAGCCCTCTCATTCTCAGAATAGACAAAACAAGATATATGTATACCATGTACTAATGGGTCATTCCTATTCGCTCTTTATATAGAGCCAAATGTGACACGTCGAGCAACCATTAAATACATAACGGACAACGCGTACTTTGGCCTAAAAGTAGTATCCGTGTAATGTCAACATAGTGTGGCCTATTGTTAGTCTAATTTGTTCAGAAACTAGAAAAAAGGCCGCCTTTCGGGCATTAAAGACGCATTGAAGATTCGCATCTGATAGACCAACCCTACGAGGATAGGCAGGCCATATCGACGTCTGATCCCTGGGAAAAGTAACTAGTCCGTGTGTTTGAAAAAATTTTCATTGATTTTTTTAAACCCCATCAAAACCTTTTAAATTTTCTGCATTCTATTAACATAATTTTCTGAACAAAACAATTTGAACCCAAAATGGTAACGAGTTGGTATTGTTGAATTTTTACTTAGTACAGTTATGTCGCATGAAATATTAAGCAAAAAAACAAATTTCGTATTTTTTAAATCTTGTTTTTTAAAACAAATCTCACGGGGATTCTTATTTGAACTTTCCTTCTGTCGGCTTGTTTTCAAATGGGGAGACAAGAAAAGGTGAATTTGACCCGCCTTTTGTCTGGACTTCAAAGAAAAATAAATTAACATTTAGTGGGAGTGTATAAAAACAGTTTCCTGTCATGCTATTTCAGATTTAACAATTGAATGCACTAGTAGTTTTTCGTCCGCTGATTGCGTTCACCTTTTTCCAGCGGGTTGACGAAAATTGATCTTTTACCTTTTAAGTCTTAACTAATTTACTCTATTTGCCTAATAAAGTAAAAAATAATAGAAATACTTATATTCTATTGTTTGAAGTCATTATTTTTTGTGGTATAAATGTTATATTTTCTATGGAAAATGTGAGATACATATATAATTTCTTCTCCCTCTTGCTTTTTTCTCTCTATCTCTCCTATATGCCTATCTATTTCTCCCTGTTTCTCCGCTCTCTCTCTCTCTCCTTTCCTTCTTGCTTGAGAGGTCGTTTTCAGAATAATATTGTAAATCATCGTGTAATATTTGTTGATGTTATGTTTAATAATATGTTTGTAGAATTTCAGTTCTTTCTACGCTCTCAGTTCTTCTCTCTCTCTCTCTCTCTCTATCTCTCTCTCTCTCTCTCTCTCTCTCTCTCTCTCTCTCTCTCTCTCTCGCCCCTCTCTTTCTCTTTCTCATTCTCTCACTCCCTCTCCCTCCCTGCTAACTCCTCACTCTGTCAGTTTGTCTCCCTGTTTCTCTGCTCTCTCCCCTTTTAATGCGGTCAATTATAACCACTAAGCAAATTCGGGTTTTTCAGTACCCTTACTCCCTTTCGCTATGCCCCTTTTAAATCTACCCATTTCTACTTTTATTTCGTATTTATTTTGATATATTTAAAATGATACCAGTGAAGTTATGAAACTATTTTAGTCGACCCAGACCCCTACTCCAAATGTTTAAAAAAACAGTCTTTTGAGCTTTTTTTGTGTGTGTGAAGTCGAGTTAAGTCGTTTTGTTCCCGCCGATTACTGTGCCCACGAGTTCATTTTATTTTTTCACATGTTGAATCGGAGGAGTTAACATTGCCAAAATAGCCGGCCACTGAAGATTGCAAAAAGTACCTGACAGAGGAAAACACCAAGGGAAACGTCAAACTACAAAATTACGTCAGATAGCGAGAGAGGAAGATATAACAGTAATGATAAAGGAAGTAAAAAAGGAAACATAGATAACTGTGAGAAATATCAGAAAGATAAACTCATGAAAGAAGACTGTGAAACGCAAAATGATTTGAGAAAATCAGAGTTTAACACTAATAGTAAAAGCGTAATAATGAGAGATATAGATGCACAGTTCTTATTAATTTTTGTACAAACATCTACTCCTAGTCTAAGTTTTCCTTGAGGTGAATGTTTTCAGAATGGAATATATTGAATCAATAAAAGTCCGCTTTAAGCAAGGAAAAATATGAATGTCGAGATGGAGTGGAATCGTCCGTCAGTTTCTGTTGAAAACGGGGAGAGAAATAATTAAAGAAGATGTAATTATAGAGATAAAAAGCGCTTGCGCTCTGTGGCGCCTATGAGAAGACAAGGTGTAGGAGGCGCATGACCCAGTTCTTCATCATCGACTGTACAAGACATCTGGAGGGGGCTCAACCCCCTCCGCGGACGGTACATTTCCTCACATACATTTATGCATTATCGTTACATTTTAAATTCAGATTCCCTCCCCGCCGCCCCCATATATTAATGTAGAGCGTATTATTATTCCGGGGTCCGTCCGGGCTCGAGAACTTGAATGCATAAGTAAGTGTAGTTTTCTTGGAGAGAGGGAGAAAGCGCGAAGGCACAATGGCTGGTGATGGATAAGCCGGCATGATTGATGCGAGGCCCTCTTTTGACAACGGATTTAATAAACTCACGGGGGGATCTGCCGACGGTGTGACACTCCCGTATGAAAACTCGACGTTTCTTTTGTAGTATGCGGTTCACAATAAGAGGAAGTCTCGTTTATCACGGGGGATGATGCGAGGATAAACTCGCCTAATGTGCCCTTTGGAACACGCTCCTCTTAACTTTAAGAAACTCGGTCGATCCGTTTTGAAAAACTGTTTAAACATTCTTTCTCGTTGTTCACTCTAGTTCTACTCTGTTCTTATACACGTTGTTCGAGGTGTTCCTATGAGGAGAGAATATAGTTAAATTGAAAAGGGCGTTCTCTGCGTTTTACGCGTGTAATACCTTCTGCCGGCTTGCGGGAAGGGCGAGCGTCATTCGCCTCGGCTGCTGCTTGCATAATCCTTCAAATGTTGTTGAATATAACAGGAGGAGACGAGGAGAGGCCAAGGCACTTTAAATTGTATGAAACTTACATGAGGCATAAGCTCGGCGGGAAGGAGAGCGGGTCTATACGGGCGGAGAAAAGAGAGGGTTCTCCCCGACCAAAGCTGGTTAAGTTTACAAATGAATACAGCGATTGAAGCAACTTATAATATCAATGTAGTCGTTCGTTCTCTCTCGCACTCTCCTGCTCCCGTTCGGCCTTCTCTCTCTCCCACCCGCTTCTGGCAGCCTTCCCGCATCACTATTCCTCCTCCATATAGAATGGCCATATTAACTTGATAATTAGCTCTGTTATACGACTTGCAGATGAGCTGCCAGCGCTCTACGGCCCTGGATGAATAATAATACAGAATATATATAGAAAAAAGAGGGTTTCCCCCTTCTCCTCCTCTTTCCGCCCAGAAGCCCTCCTCTGCCTTGTGACTTACATATAAAATTGGGCTGGGACTCGACGGCGGTGCCATTCTAGTCCGGGACGAGGGTTGGAACGGTTCTGCAGAGGTTGCTCCGCGAAGAACAACCCCCGCCATCCCCGCGCGGCCATCTCTGCAAGCCTTCTTCTTCCTCGTGCTCCCAGAAGCTTTAACCCGTCTTCCGAGACGTCTATTTCGGTATTGCTTTTCGGATCTCCTAGGGTCTTCCGGGTCGGCTACACGCTTCCACCTGTTCCGCGCTGTTTTACCGCCTTCTTCGCTTAAATCCCTTCCGCTTTGACCCCAACGCGTATAAGGTTACTTCAAGCCCTCAAGGCGAAAAGGAACGCGTCTTCTTCCAAACATGGCGCCTGGAACCATGGGGAATGGGTGCCCTGACGTCACCGTACGCCATCATTGTTAACTTACAAAAACCGGTTTCTATATCAATATTAACATT